TCCATCACCAATGAGTATCACATGATCAATCAAATGACTATCACTCTTCTTTTAGAGAAATTTGTATGCTTAGAATTGAAAATTCAGTACAAATAAGCACAAATTTTGAAAAATCAGGACATAGCGTATGGATTGCAAATTTAACAAAATCGGTACGAGGGTTGAAAAATCAATACATACGTCTGGCAACTGTATCTGGTTTTTCGGCGCTCAACTCTTCTTGCATTGCTGGACGCACATTTTTGGCTCATATGAACACATGTATTCATAAGGCTATCATAAACTCATACTGACATCTAAAACTTATGGCTGAATAAAATTCCGTAAGCGCAACAAGCATTTAACGCCTGGGTTCTGGTAGAGTTCTAAATTTGTATCGGGTATTCCGAACGGTGTTGTAAGTGTCGCATTGTTGTATTGTTGTACGCCTAAAAAATATATTAAGGGGGTTCGAAAAGTACCATCAAAGTAATATTATGCATTTTCGGAGTGTTAAAAAAATAGTTGGTTGTAGTTTCAAGTTCTCTAAGCATTTTTTAAGCTTTTAAAGTTTACGACATACAACAATACGACACTTACGACACCGCTGTGAATCCCTCAATAGTTTCTTTAGTGAGGCCGAGGGTACGGAACAAAGAGTGGAGTTAAATTTCCTTAACCAAAACATAGCACGTTAACACATGACTCTGAAGGAATTTTAGAAACTCCATCTCCCTTTGAGGGCTTTCGGTTTTTTCCTTTGTAGATAATAATTTTTTCATTTTCACCCAGCTCACTGAAAATGGCTCTCGCCTCATAAAAGTGTCATTTACAAATTATCAAATACAAATATATGTGTTTCTGTACTCTTAAAATTATGGTATTATGGAAATGCAAATTCGCTAGAGTATATGTACAGTGGTCGAAATAATTATGGCCGCACCACATTTTGACAAGTTTTAACATATTCTTTTTGTTGTTATTTAATTTTGATTATTTTTTTTATAAAAATATAGTTCATTCTTTAACAAAACCTGTGTAAAACCAAGTTTCAGACCTTGTGCAATATTAAAAAAAAAATTTTACAAACTTTCGCAAAAATTTCTAACTCTAAGATTCTGCGTATGCAGTTTTGTAGCCCATTGAATTAAGGTAGAACAAAGTACAAGTTTTAAATGGCTAAAAATTACGGTTGATGTTTTAGATTTTTTTTGTCCAGGATTTTTCGGTTTTCTTCCATATAAAAATAAATTTTGTATATTCGTTATATGGAAGCAAATGGGATAAAAAAATTCTAAAAAATCAACCATAATTTTTTTCTATTTAAAACTTGTACTTTGTTCTACTAGAATTCAATGGGCTACAAAACCAGGGCTGCACATTTATGTTAATTTTATCAATAAACGAAAATACCAAATTCTTTTGGTTTTGTACATCGATAATGTTAACATTATGGCTGCGTTTCTTTATACATTCCGGATAATCCCATTTCACAGCCGGAATAAACAGAATACGTTTGAAATATACGTTAACATATCATCAGGAACGTTCTAAAGAATAAGTAAACAAAAAAGTTTATTCCAAACGTTCAGAATGAATAAAGAAATTCAGCCTATG